CCCCCCCCCCCCAAAAAAAGACAATCCATCCGTACAAGCGCTTCAAAGAAGCAGTCGAGGTCTGCAAACCCTGGACTGCAAGAACGTCCGTGCTGCTGCCCTGACTGCTTCCGCGCTGCGGGCAGTTCCGTGCTCCGTGCTGCGGCCCTGCAAGAAGCAGTCGGGGCCCAAAATGTGAAATGTACGAAACAACGATAAAAGATACCGGGCCTGCCCCGAGCTGTCAGACTCTGACGAGTAGGCTACTACAGTCTTCCCCCGAATACAACGTACGGTCATTATAGCTGAATTTGGTGAATCTTTCAGTCTAAATTCAGCTATAAAAAGCCTATAATGACCGTACGTTGTATTCGGGTGAAGACTGTAGATGGACGTCGCGTTTGCCTGTGAAAGGCAGTGGTGGTCCAAGGTGTAGTAGAGGGTGGAGGCCAAGCACAAGGTTGTGGAGCATAAGGATCTTCAAAGTTGTTCCCAGTACTTGGACATTCACAAAGTGCCCTTATCCTCAGGCTAGACCTCTTACTGCTCTACCCGGTAGTTGGCTGCGATTGCCTTGTTGAGATACGTCCAAGGAAGTGGCAGTCTGGCAGATGGAGTAGGCAAGGTAGGTGAGCCTGCCGAGATCAATTTCAATATTGAAATGTTAACTCAATGTGAATCATGATGTGATGAACCGCTCAAAGAAAAAGGAGGCACCACTTGGCATGTGGGCAGAAGCAACATAGTATCGGTCGTCTTAAATCAAACAGGCCCATAACTATGTCTGAAATCAAACAGCACTGGGGGTGTTTGTCCAACAGAGACAGGGCGGGGCCGGGTAGGGAGTCGGATGGGGGTTAGGGATGGGGTACTCACCTCTGGTCGGCCCGGGGGAGGTGGGACCCGCCTCTTACCCCCTACCACCATCCGGCCTGACCTCTCCTTCACTGAGCTGTGATGTGACCGCTACTAGGTGCAGCAGCTGAGACTCAGCAAGTAAGAATGGGTCACATGCATACGATCTACATTCTTCCCCCCAATACAACGTACGGTCATTATAGCTGTATTTAGACTGAAAGATATGCCAAATTCAGCTATAATGACGGTACGTTGTATTCAGTGAAAGAAGGTAGTTTGAACATTCCAAAAACTTGATCTTTTTTACTTTTTAAAAGGCCCTGGGACGCTGGACACGATTTCCAGTAGGTGCCCTGGTGCAGCAACACTGCAGCTCCCCACCAAAATACTGGACCCACCCGACGGGGTTATCACAGGGGGCTGCTCTTATCACCTCTTGGGATAAGGCCCTGGTCCCGACTCCCAAGTACGTTGTACGGGATCTCTGTACGGGCCGTTCAGACACCTGTACAGCCGTACGGCGTACAGCCAGCCCCTGTACTAAGCTTCCAGGGGCTGGAGAGGGGTTGTCCAGGGGGGTTGGCTGTCGTGGGGTGGTATGGGAGGTGGCAGGGGTGCGCCCTGTATTAAAAAAA